TTATGATTAGACTCTTTGTAAGAACTTTAGTTTTACAATATCGTGATAGCGATCCTTGCATATATTAAAATATCACATTTTATATACGAGAAACACCTAAAATATAATTTTACATTTGTGTATAAAAATATTGCACAACTGAAATTTAATGCAAACATTAGACTTCTTATATAACATGTTATATTAAAGTTATATTGTTGATGTAACTTAACCAATAAATAACATAATAACATAACAGTTTTATATTATAATATAGTTATATCGAAGTTATAAAGGAAATTAAGTAACCTCAATATTAATAATGTATAACAGCAGTTATATTACATGTTACTCCTGTGTTATATCACAGTTATGTTCTGTGTTTGCTGGGATGTTTTCGATATCAAGGGATCCAAAATTTGTTAAAATTAAAGAATTTTCAAATCACGATGCACTATCGTCTGTTTAATACGCACGGAAAATTCTTTCTTTTATAATGATTTGAGAACTAAGATTGTACTCTGGGGTCGTAATTCACATTATCAGCAAATGCGCGAAGGTTAACTGCGTTTATATGTTTTAAAAATGTTTATTAAAATTTAACAAACAATATTATGAAAGTATAATCTTAGTTCTCAAATCAATATAAAAGAAAGAATTTTCCGTGCGTATTAAACAGACGATAGTGCATCGTGATTTGAAAATTCTTTAATTTTGATATAAAATTCGGATTCCTTGTTGTCAAAAACATAAGATTAGTAATCTTTTAAATTCAATAACATATTTCCAGTATAGAAGTAAGGCAAGTTTTTTCTCGCGTAAAGCACGCGACTTTTGATGCTAGTTGTGGCACGGACAGGGATGCGCCATTTGGCACGCGTGCCAGTCAAGTGGTTAAGACGTAGTATATATAACGTTTTTGGTCTGTGATTTAGGACCGTCAAAAAAACGTCATTATTTAGTTAATTTGAAGGATAAATGACGTAACAGATGACGTAAAATTCATGTCATTATCACGTCTGTCTGCTACCTGTAA